CTTTTCACACTATATCAGCACCTGATTTAATGTTTAATGTAAATTCCACAACCCCCTTTCTGACTGCGTCTGTAGCAGAGCCGTCGGTGGAAACCTGAATCCAAGTGGTGTTTGGATACTTCTCATCAAATGATGTCCAAACCTGGCCACACACAAAAGTTCTATGTTCAATAAATAAAACCATTTGCGTTCCTGTTCTTGAAGTCCATGCCGTGTGGTGTTGGTAGTCATGTCTATCCAGAACCTTCTATCTCGAGTATTCTCAATCAACTCTGACATAGATGATCCTCCATTCCATGATGCCAAACATCCGTTCTCTTGGTCTGCCTCTGCTCCAACTTTCCTACTGTCACGACGTACTTGTTTTCTCCTTCTCATCACAAGACCAAAGAATGTAGATTGTCTTTTCTTGATGTGTGCAATAGCTCTTGCTGTGGGCAATAGTTCTCTGTGAGTCAATCTTTCAAGAGATCTTAATTACTCTTATTATTTTTCCAGAGTATTCTCATCATGTCTCTAAAGCCACATCTCCACAGCTAACTAACTGTCCATAATTCACTTCAGTGTATCAATACAGGATTTATTTAGCTTTTAAGAATTCTCTTTCTTATCTTAACTAACAAAGAAAGATTGCATTTTAATTCTTCATTTTGTAAAATGCTGCCTTTGCTTGAGCTATTTGATATTTAACTTCCTTAATATATCTTTCATCTGATGTTATCAGAATACCCAGGTATTTAAACATATAAACTTGCTTGAGGTTTGTCCAAATACTTTGCATTTTGGAGGGTCAGTTTTCTTAGCCATGACCATTAGTTCAGTCTTTCTGCTGTGCAAACTAAGACCCTTGTTTTCACTTTCGTGACAATTAAATCCATCATTTCTTGCAGTTGTGTTTCATTTTCAGCTATCAAAACTATATCGTCAGCATATCGCAGGTTGTTAACAATATGCCCACTAACCGATATTGCTGGCATACCATGTATGGATCTAACTATTATTTCACTGTACAAATTGAATAAATCGCATGATAGTACACATCCCTGTCTAATGCCTTGTTTAATGTTTTGAAAAGTTCCAACCTGGTTGTCAATCCTAATGGCTGTTTCTTGTTGCAGGTATATGTTTTAAAAAAATTATTCTCAGATCTTTAAGATTTCCAAAATTCTAATAATTTTCTTCATGTTTCATTTTATCAAATCAAAAAAGCACAAATCATTCTTTCTGCAAGTGTTCAAGATAAAAATGTAATTGTTTGTGCCTTTACCTTGAAAAAAAAAAAAAAAAAAACCACTGCTTTTCTCTAATTTCTTGTTTAATTTTGCACCTTTATTTTCAAATCATAATTCTCATTAATACTTTAGTTACATGACACAATAAACTATTTGTTAATTGTTCTTCACATTCCCCTGCACCAGGTGTTTTTGGTAATTGAGATTTCAAAAGGTCATCAGTTACCTATCCAGCTCTAAACACCACCAACAATTTTGTCAAAAATTCTAAATCCAGTGTTTCATTATTGACTTACTTTGATTCATAATTCTGTGACATCATCTGGCCCTGGAGATTTACATTTCTTTATGTGGTGTATAGCATCTTCCACTTCTGCTTTCAGTATTGGCGGTACAGTTGTGACTTTGCTTTGCATTACAAACGGATTTTACATTGTTAGTGTCATCAACAATAAGGTCCATAAAATAATATACAGTACAAGCATTTATAAGATAACCTGTGGTTGATTTTTTGTTGTTGCTGTTTTTTTTTCAGGTTCAACTGATAAGTACAGACAAACGTTTGGCTCTGCATTTAAGCAGGTTGTGAATTGATTTTGTAGCTGCATAATTGAAGAAACTTGCTTCACAGAGCAAGGGCGGCAATATTAAGTTCTTATATAAGATTCTGAATTCATCTTGTATAAGCAGCCAAAACAGCAATAAACTGATTTTGAAACACAATTATTAATTCACCGTGAGATGTAAAATCTATGAGGGCCTCCTATTCTGTTAAGTTGGGTGGTTTTTGTTCATGTTAAACACAGTCGGTACTCATTTAAAGCTACTGGAAAATGATGTTCAAACAAGTCTCTAAGAACTTGGTAATGCACCTGAACATAACTTATGTTAAATATAAATATATTTTGAACTTTGGTGTTATTTTCATTAAAGAAACTTTTTGTAAGAGGGAAGAAAAATATTGTCTGCTTGAAAAGGCACACAACTCAAATTGACAAATTAGTGGAGGTAAAAAAAAAAAAAAAACACTAAACATTTTAAATTCCTATGTCAAATCATTACTACTGTATGGAGCGGAAACAAGGAGAACTAAGACAATTACTAAAAAACTACAAACATTCATTAACTGGTGCCTGTGCAGAATACAGGAAATTAAATGAGGGGGTGCCTAGTTGACCATGGCGAGGCATAATGCAGTGCAGTGCACTTGTATCCATGGCGAGGCGCAGATGCCATCTGGAAGTGACAGGTTCAATTCCCAGCATGGTAACTATAGCTTTCGATTTTTATGTTGTCTAGTGTTGTTCTATCTTTCTATGAGTGCCGATCAATACACTTTCTGTTTCTGGACTAATTCAGGAAATTAAATGGTATGATAGAATCACTAATGTAGAGCTTTGGGAGAGAATTAAACAAGCTAAAGTGGACCAAGAGGTAAAGAAAAACGCTGGTGTCAGATAGGAAACGTTGGGAAAACCTGAGAATGTCTATGCACTGGAACCCACTGGGGCATAGAAACAAAGGAAGTGAAAAAAAACAACACACGAAGAACGGAGCTAGAGAGTGCAGTTAAAAGATGGGGAGGACTGAAGGAGAGCTGCATGCAATAGCGAAGGATAGAACAACTTGGCCTGAGTTGGTTGAGGCCTATGTCTTTTCAGAGGATAGAAGGCAGAAGAAGAGGAGGCATACAACTCGGTACTACGCATGAAAATCAGTCCATCTTGTCAGCCATGAGATACAGCATGGGACTTTCCAGTACACTCCTAGAGTCTAGGAGTGTCATGTGTTCCTCGTTTTAAATGTTTCAAGCACATCCACCATCAATGAGCATCTTTGGTGCTTCCTCCTACAGTACTTCTTCCTTGACACAGGCACCTTTAGCACCTGAGACACATTACAAAAACAAGTCGTTTAAAGAAAAGAGAGTTGTGAAAAGACAGCTGCAGACTTTTGTCAGGTTAGGAAACACTGGTGTAAAATAACGTATTATAACCAGACCATTCTACCATCAATTATTTTAATCAATTACTGCATTGCACCATCAAATGTGTCAATGGATACACGTGTGTCGGTCATAACTTTCCGTTGACTAGCCCTATCTTCAGTAAAAACCTGTTTACTTCCATGGTAACTGACTGCTGTACTGGTCAACACAATCAACTGCAGTCTACTAGTTGACTGAAAACCCCAGGAATCCCTTAAAATTATGCATTGAGCTGAAAGGTTCTGATATCACAGCCTAGCTGTACCAAAGGTCTTTTAAGCACAAATGCATAAGACATGATTTTCGTTTTTTTTATCTACATAAAGTCCGATCTTCCTGCCAGGTAAAAAAAAAAAAAAAACCAGCAGTAGGAAGTTTCAAAATTGTGACATCTGTGCCTGTTCATAGTTGGGTCAGGCAAACATAAAAGTGACCCCAGAGTCAACTGCAGCCGTTCTAAAACTTTCTACTCTACTGATGCTATTGCTAGACTGACAGGCATGCATCACCATATAAAAACTATTCGCCAATGAATGTCTATAGGTTTCAACCCTTCTCTTATTTAAAAACAAAAGGACACCAGAACGCTGCTTTTCATTTGTGCATGTCAAAAGCGGGGTGGCCATCTTTAAACTGCCAGTATTATGTCACCATGTTTTATCTGCACCATGTTACATGCTTAACACTCTTCACATCCTAAGCAACAGTACTGGCATGCTACAAGACAATGATTATCAGCAACTTAATGACCAAGCTGACAGACTGGCCGCTGCTGATTTTCTGGGTGGCAAGCTACTTTATGATAAAGTGAACATGGTGAAGGGTCTCTGGAATCAAGTGGACTGTGTAACAGAACATAGTATGCATACTGTGAAAGACAAATTCATTGGAGGGTGAGCAGAGGTTCTGAAAGACATTCAACACTCCTTCTTCTCCTTCGCGTTCACCAGCTGTACACTCTGGCGGAGAGTTATGGTTGCTGGTCCACTACTGAACTGCAGTCCTGCTCCAGAACCTGAGTGTTGCGTGTGCATCAGTTTTACAGATCTCATTCTCTTGAATAGACTGTTGGTTCCTTGCCTCTCCGGCAGATGCACTGCGACTTCAAAGGAAGCTCCCCAATTAGTCGACTCTCATGACATGCTTTTGGGGAGGCAGTGGGTCTATTCTTGTTTTCCCCACAATGGGGCCCCGGAACACACTCAACACTAAGGGAGAAACACGGGTGGGGGAGTGTCAGGTTGCAACTGGTACTACATGCCTTAGCATACTGACTCTTCTCTTGTTGCTGAGGAAGAAGGTGGAGTATTATGTGGAAATGTCCTGAAATAGTATATACGTCAATTCTTGATTCACTTATTCATTCAACTATTAGCAAGAGAATTTTAGACAGCTGTATTTTTTAATGTTAGATAAGTTCATATATCACAACACTTCAAAGGTGAATTGCTATTATTTAACTCTTTTAATGGCAGAAAGTTTCACAGGAGTTACCAAAGTGACAAAATATCACAAAGTAAAATCATGATTGCTTTACTTTCAAAGTGGCAATATACATAGATGTAGTGACTAATGTGAGAAGCCAGATTTATTGAGTATGTTCTGACCAAATGGTAAAAGAGAGCGCATTAAGACATGGAGGGTAGTCAAGGGGCAAATTCATTTACAAACAGAATCTTGCTTGGGACTGAAAGAGTTAATAACTGATCGTTAATGCAATCAACTTCAAGTGTCAATGAAATATTGGGTTCCACATGTGCATCAGCATATATTATATTCAGTTATGTGTAAATGGAATGAACAAAACTGATATATTGTGGCTGAATTTTGGCAACTTTGCGAAATTCTTCACTTAGTGTTTTAGGACACTGCATTTTGCTCCAGCTTAAAGGTACCATGTTGACTCCTGAAAACAAAAACACATATTACAAATTAGTAAGTTTCCAGACAACAGTGCCTGCAATATAAAGAAGTGTCATATGTACTGTGCAATAATGAATTAAATGGGTTATTTATTTCAGTTTGAAATTATTCAATTTTGTGCTTCTTTACAAGTTGACATAAACTATGTAGTAGGCACCTGCCAAAATACAAAACCATATGGTAGACAAAACATTTGTTTGTTCCTGCTCTGTTTATCAAATATGTGGCTCTACAAAAGAAAAGTGAAAAACTTGGGCTGCCACAATGCACAAGCTAAATAATTTTTCAGGACCACATTTTTTTCTGGGGTTCGGACAGCATTCATTTTTAGCGGAATTTTTTTTTACTGCAACACGACAAAGCTAAAACCTTCTTGAAGAAAAAGTATTGGCTGTATCTGAACACATAAAATATCAAATTAAAGATAAATGAGCGCAGAATAAATCTAAACTAAATGACAGTATATCAACACAATATTATTAAAATCACACAACATTCAAGGATGTTAGACACATATAAACATTATCAACATAAAAATTGTGTGCTTACTTTACATTTTTACTTATACAGCAACACTGCTATCCAATTCTAAGAATGCACATGCCTTTTCTGTTCAAATATGTATCAGCTATTCTTTTTTTGAAACAATTAATTTAAATACTTTGCATGCTGTGATAATATTTGTATGACATGTCCAATTTCACAACAACCGAAAATCGGGAAAACTGCTGATCAAAACATTGATCCGATTGAAATATTTTGTTCAATTTTCATATCCTAAACTGAATTATCGCCAATAAGTTTGTCACTTAGATATCAATCATAATATCAAGACTGTTCATCAACCACAGAGCAGTATGAACAGTTCTAGATCTTTCCCCTCATCATTTAGAATAGAACAATTACGTTAAAATTGTATCATATCTAAATAATTTTTCAAAAATCATAAATTTAAGCACCGACTTGATGAACTTCGCAAACAAAAGGACTTCCCGTTGTTAATCCTAATTGTTCAAAAACTTGTTCATAAAATTTCATTTTCCCCACAAACGGAACAAAGAGTGTCTCTATCATAAGCCAATATACTGGTGATTCGTCCATTAGGGATACATTTATTCGCCAGTTTACTGGCAATATGTCTTTAAAGAGTTAAAAGAGGTTAAGTCACAATGACAAATGTGTTACAAACATCAGATATAGGTAGACAACAATTTTTTTAAACCACACCAAGAAATAAAAAACACTGGAAAATGTGACAACTGGAAAGACTTATAAATAGAGAAACAGAGAAAGGCACTGAGAAAATATACATGACATGCTTTGTTATACATTTGTAATTTATCCTGTTGGTCATCACAAGATGTGGAAGGCACTAGAGGATGTTGCATGATTTACAAATTGAAAAAAAAAAAAAAAAAAACGAAACTACAAAGATGTGGAGAAATAATATACAGGCTGCATACACTTCGAGTCACAAATAAAAAAGAGAGGACTAATCAAAGAGATGAAGGAGGTGGGAAATATCTGCAGCAATGGACCTCAAGGGCTTGGATGCTGAAGACCAAGAAGAGATAGATGTTTTAACTGATAAAAAAAATGAAAACATTGACAAATGATTAAAAAGTGTAATGAAGATGTCTTGAAAGAAAAAAGCACACAGAGAAAACTGGCTCACTGCATCAGAACAGGCAATCCCCAATCTTTTTTGGCACATCATAAGAAAAGGGAATAGTACAGTCATTACAAAGGAAAGATGGAGGGAAAAAGAAGTAGAGGGTGGCAAACAGACATTAGTGTTAAGTCATTATAATCTAATTTGATGTCATTTTCCATAACATAAAAAAAAAAAAACATTAATCAGAAAAAAAAAAGAACGTGAATTATTTTAGTAATTTAATGGCCCTGATGTAGTGTAGCTGTGGACTTCCTATTTGCCTGTCTGTTCGTGGTCTACACGTTCAACCTTTTGGATGTTCACAAAAACCGCATGAAAAAAAAGCTTAAAAAATAAAAATCTGTAATTCTTACAAAGTTGCAGTTTTGTTACAAAAACGCATGTGTAATTTAAAATTAATACATACCTGCTTCACTTGTGGCCATAACTACACCCAATTCATTTTCAGCAGTTGTAAGCAAATAAGAAAGAGAGTCTCCGAGTGATAACTATTTATAAATGTAAAGAAAATTAATAACATACAAAATAACCAGTATATTATATACATAAAATTAAAACGTTTATCAAATTCGTATTTTTCCCTCTTCGTTTCACTTAAAACTGCCAAGTTCTCTCTAGGAGCTCCAGACAAGTGATTCTGTTAAGATCATCCCTGCAGTAACTGGTCAATGAATATATGCAGTTTACCAGTGATGGTTTCAGTCATTGTCAACATGTCTGGTCCACACATCAGTACCGACTTAAACTTAATGTTGGAGTTGAATATTCCCACAAAATATATCTTATGTTGACTCACTGTATTCCTATTCTTACAAACAGCTTCTCTTGCCTTTCATAATCTAATATTGTTAAATGTTTCACATACTGACCTAAACTGCTACCTAAACAGTTTCAAGTTCTTGAAGTCCCAACAAGGAAGACTGGGTTATCATTTGCCTGATATATTCTCAGAATCAATTTGGTGTGGTAAACAACAAAACAGTGGCCACGCTGCCATCTTGTGTGATATACTACGCAGCATTTTTCCAGAGACATGATGTCTTTAAATGTTGAAGTTAAAAACCATACAACCAGGATTGCCCCAGTGATCACATTTATCCCCTGATCTCTTCAATATTTTCTCTATTGGGGTGACAAAATACCAATTCACAGGGGAAGGATGAACTTTCTCATAAGCTGGTGACATACTAGAGTATCGCCAAGGCAAGAACAGGGGCAGAATTGTTGAAGAACTCCAGTGGGAACTGGGGCACATAGCAGATTTGTGTCAAACCTCCCGGGTGCTGATTAACCTGGCAAAAGCCACTGCAAACTGGTTGTCTTTGAGCTACCACATACTACACACAATGACGATCAATCACAGATTGATTCTATTGACAAGGAGAGAGGAAAAATAAAGAATTCCAGGGCAATCCCAAATGCACTAATAGATTCAGACCATAGAGCAGTGGTACTTCTGCTTCAACCAGCTGGAAAACAACCGAATAAATCAATTCAACAAGCAGAGATAACAAACACTGTCAAACTAAAAGGTAAAGAAGTCTGGGAGGAAACAGAGCAGTCAGAATCTAATTTAACACCCATACAAAGCAAACAACATAGAGGATGAGTGGTAGACTTTTAAAATCTGCATCCTGAACCAGTGAAAGATAACTGCGGCCTCAAAACCTTTTGCCACTTTTTCAAGAAGTTGACAAATCTCTTGTTTATCAGACTCTACAACCACCAAAAATGATATCTGATGTTTTCCAAAGCTGACAATGCCACTGAATGGAGTCCAATATGGGTCATGATAAGACAATAGCCAAGAGTGCTTTCATTCAGAAGGCCTTCCTAGTCTGCTTCTAAATATAGTGAGGATTTACATGCAGCCCCAAGGAGACTAAAGTAGAACCTCGCTTAGTGAGCCCCTCTCATAACAAGTAATTTGCATAACGAGCAAAACAAACTGTAAAAAACAAACTTGCTTAACGAGCGACTTTTTGCATAACGAGTGGCGAGGAGAGGGGAAGTCCCAGACTGTGCGCATTTCACTTCAGTCTGTGTTTAGCACTCGTTCCAGTAGCATCGCAGTGTCGCTTGTTATCACACATTTTTTCAAAGTTGGGTTATATTGTGATATATGTACATGAATCCTTCAGGCCTACAAGATTACCTCCCTGAAGAATTTAAGTTCATCAAGATCCAGTTTTTGCCTCCCAACAACACTCCGTTACTCCAGCCCATAGACCAGCAAGTTATTTCTAACTTTAGGAAGCTCTACATTAAAGCACTCTTCGAGCATTGTTTTCAGGTGACTGAAGGGATCAACCTCACTCTCAAACATTTTGGAAAAATCACTTCCACATTGTTGCCTGCCTCGAGATGATCGACAAGGCATGGGAAGGGGTTACCAAGAGATCCCTAACTTCTGGTTGGAAGAAGCTTTGGCCGGACAGCGTTGTCAAATGTGACTTTGAGGGATTCGAGACAGCAACTGTGAAACCTGTAGTCAACGAGATTACGTCTCTGACCACTATCATGGGATTAGAGGTGGATAACAGTCATAACGAAGAGCTTGTGGAAGAGCACAGCCAAGAGCTGTCCACCGAAAAGCTTATGGAGTTGCATTGCGTTTCACAGCAAGACATTTGGAGGAAAGTTTGTCAGAGGAGGAGGAGGTAACAGAAAAGCAACTATCTTCTGGCAAAATTAGAGAAATATTGAAAGCATGGGAAAATGTATACTACATTGAGAAGTAACACCCTAATCAAATAAAGTAGCTATGCGCGTTGCAAATTTATTTAATGATAATGCTGTGTCGCATGTTTGCCAAAGTTTGAATCGTCGGCAAAAACAAATGTCTCTGAACATCTTTCTAGTAAAAAAAATAATTAGCCTTGTATCATAATTATTTAGATTTTTTTCTTCTGCAAATCGAATTCGCATTCCAGGTGAGTTCGTTCCACGTGTGAAGAAAAGATGAAAATGATTCACTCTCCTTAAAAATATGTATATAATTTTATTTGAATACATGTTATACATAGCATTTTGTAAGTATTTTTTTCGACATGGAACGCATTATCGTATTTTACATTAATTTATATGAGAAAAATTGTTTCGCATAACGAGTGTTTCGCTTAACGAGTATGATTCTGGAACAAATTATGCTCGTTAAGCGAGGTTTCACTATACTTTATATGATTCAGACATTAAGTCCTCCGGATGAAAAACAGAAAAGCAACTCATATATCCAACTGAAGTTACTAAAAGGATACCACTCTTGCCACAATAATGTCACCAGGTCTGAAACATTTGTACATTTCAACTCTGTCTTTTTCCGTTGCTCTGACGTCTTCTTTCCTGAAAAGGACAAAAACTAATTAAATGTTATCTTTTTTGAAAAAGTCTCACAATAAAAAAAAAAATGCTGGCATCACTTCATGCATTGCCATGTCACAGGAGAATGTACCAATGAAAGCACCAAACATGTTACAGCCTGTGATATACAAAGCTCAAAGACAACAGTCAAAGCAGCAGATCCAAGAAGTCAGCTTTCGGTCACTTGGGAACATGATACTGAGGACGGTGGACAAGAAAGCGACCAGTATTGACAGATTCAATGCTATTATATATCTCTATGTGGGTTCTAGGACATAATTTTGGAGGGGATGAAGAATAAACACACTGCCCCCGCCCCTCCACAAGCATGTCGTAAAATACACACTAATTAGGGGTTTTACAGAGTGTACCTGCTAGAAAGACAAAGAATAGTCTGTCTACAAATCAACCAGATCTTTAAAACAGACGTGCACACAAAACTTAATTTGTGAAACAAGACATGAAGTCCAAAAGTGGACAAACAAAAATAACTTTTCATCAGAGTTTATAGCCAGTGAACGTTAAGAAGAAGAATTTGTTATATATTGTTAGCACGAGTTTTCAGATAATGTAAAGCACTTTATTTATGACATTATATAGTCGGATTTTGTAGCCAAATCCCTCAATTTTTTTTTAAGGTGTTCATGCCTTGTCCAAGAAGACCTTGTGTATCAGGTCTTGGTCAGATATGACTAATCTACTGTGTAACAGTAGCCCGTGCCATTTAATTTCTGTAAATCCCAAATGTTGGGCGGCGTATATTAAACCGGACATCCCATATTGTGCCAACGGATTCGGGCAGAGGAGAGCACTGGGGAGGATACTGGCTTTATCCTAAAAAGAGGAAATGCAGCCTGAAAACCTCACAATATGGCAGGGCAACCAGGCCTTTAACCTTGGCTGTCAGCTAGTCTAGAAGGGAGGTTCCGACAGGAGCACTCAGCTTTCATATGACAACTGTATTTTATATATCTGTCAAGAATATTTTGTGAATGTAGTTCCTTTTTTTTTTACTCTGTATAATTTTATTCGGAATCCATACTTGGTTTTTCTTTCTTTCTTTAAGTGATAAGCGGACATTTACTGTATGCATACTAGTTTTGAGACACTCCCATTTTACACTGATTTTGTCCTGTGGATTTCCAAGCCGATTTTGTTCCATGCTTTCAACTGCTAGCTAAGCTTGTCATATGTATTTTTCTCTTCCACCAGATATTGCCACCTCACTTGTGGCTTCAATGCTAATATGTCTATCTGAGATTCCCATGATGCTTTCTGACTAGTATATGTAAGTATTATGTGAGTTTTGTAAACCACAGGGTTATCATCTGAGCCGTATGGTTTGGAATTCATAATGCTGTTTTTAAATCTGTTTCTAATCATAATGTAATCAATTTTGTCTCTACTTCTATCTTCAAGGCTTTTCCATGTACAGTTTCCTAGGCGGACGCAAAAAAAAATGTTTTACAAATAATGAGCTAGTTCTCCTCATAAAACTATCAGCATATCTTCTCTTTTATTCCGGGTTCCGATGCACTAATGCCCTACATTTTGCTTTTGCTTTACTTTTCGTTCATTAGCATTCCTATGTCCAATGACTATAAGGACCTCTGATGATTTTACCACTTTTAGTGTTTTTAGAATGTTGTCAGTTCATGCTCTCATTGAATGCTCTTGTGATGTCACGAGAACTTGTAGGTGTAGTGCACATGTTAATAGTTTTGGCTACATTCTCACAAGATGACCAAGCCATTTGATAGCCATGGGGGTGTAACAACCCTGACCCTTTACAAATCAAACCAAACTCAAACACAATTTTTAATCCTAAAATATCTTTGCAACAGAATGTGAATGAAAAGACAAAAAATAAACAAATAACTTATTTTAAACAAACTTTGTTCATGAAAGAGATCTGTTACATAGAATAAAAAAAGTTTAAAATAGTTAACGAATGTCTAATATTCATTTGTATTGGTTTATTTAATCAAGCTTACCTAACCATGCCTCTGAACACATCGGTAAGAGGACTTGTCCCAACACAGGTAATTTCACATTTACAAAATCGTGGATTCACGTTTGTAACCTGTGGATGATTTGTACAGTACAAAAATATCAAGTGTAAAGTTAGAGGACCAGCTCCACTGCATTCAGTTTAATCTATGGCTCCATCTCTTGCAAAATAGCTAGCTGCCTGCCGATAGCTGATGGATCATGACAATAAAGGGTAATCTTCCAGCAAAATTAGACTTTCAACATGTCTTCTGTCAGTCTAAAAGCACCATTAAAAGACCCTGATGCAGATATCCTGTCCAATAATTGTGATGCTTGTAAAAAGATGAGCCACAGATGTCAACCTGTACTTGACTTGCCATCTATATGATAGAAGTTGAGTGTTCCAGCAAATATGCACCTCACTCAGGGCAAACGGACACTAAGCCTTCTCTACAAAAAGACATTATGATATTCAGGAAAACAAATTAAAGATGGTACAGGCATTACATACCATCTGACATGCAGTTCATACCAGTCAAATACGTTCCCATTAACCCTTTTGTCCCTAGAAACAGATAATTCTGGTTAGATCTAATTCCCTATAAATGTCATTTCTCTCTCCTGTCTATAGTGACATGTTTACTAGATGCACAGTTAACGATGTTTTCGCACCTGTCAGGATATGAAAACATTAACGAACCAAAGCATTTCAGGGAGGGACCCAAAACTGAATGGCTTTTTAAAAGCCAAGCTGACCTAAGAGGTTACCGTAAGCCTCAGTGATAAAGATCACCACATGTATCACATGATATATGTTTTTTTTTTGGGGGGGGGGGGGGCGCAAGTCATGTGGTTGGGGGGGGGGATATTTTACTTAAGGCCATGTAGGGCAGAAAAAAAATTAAATTGTTTATATACTAATATATACTGTTTATGAGCAAGGTCATGGTTACAACCACATATGGAAGTTTCCAGAAAATTGGGATGAATGAAAGGTTGAGAATAGGAAAAGTGACATCCGACAAATCCAAAACTTAGCGAAGAATGCAGAGGACACAATAATGATTACAATGGTATATGATATCTAGTTATCTTCTAAGGCAAGTCGCCCGCTGCTAGGTCTGAAAAATCGTGAATTTTGTAACAATTGCCAATAAATAAAACAATCTGAAATAAATTAGGCAAGCTCAGTAAAAATATTAATACTGCATTAAAATAACATTCTTTAAACAAAAACAAGTACTGAATCTGACAGAAAACATACTAAGATGTATAAAAATGAACTTCTCAAACAACTGTCGACCTAACCAGAATTCTCTATTTTCCTGTGCTGCACATGCCCTTAATGCTACATCTGTTCATATTTACTGAATACTCTTGTTATTATCTGTATATCTTTTAAAATTAAATTTCAAATGCAGATAAATACATAACTAACAAATTCATTAGTGACCTGTGAAACATTTTTTTATTTTTAAATATATTTCTTTATTTTATTGACTAACACTCTGAATAAATTAACAATCTAATCAAGTCAACTTACTCGAGCTATGACAAGGTCACCAATGCTTGGAATTGTGTCGTGATCTTCTTCTGTACCAATATGAATGGACTTGGTCTGTAGATGGAAAATTAAAAATTTTTTACTAAGGGAATTAAGACATACATACACACACAGATACACACATATATATATATATATATATCAACAGAATAATCAACAGCTGAAGATATAACTTGTATTTTATTCAATGTAAGCCTCTTGTGCACTGATACAGCGAGTGGCACGATCTAACAAACACTGGAACGACCACAGTAGTTCTATCGTTATGGCCCTAAAAGTTGATGTTACGGCCCTTTGGATGCCATCAATATTGTCAAAGAAGCGTCCTTTCAATAGCAAAGGTAAAGATAAAGCAACTTTAATTCTGGGAACAGAAAATAGTCACAGGGGGACAAATCTGGGCAATAGAATGGATGGTTGAGAACACATTTAATTTTTCTTGCCTAAATCTTCCACTAAAATTTAATGAACAGTCTCTGTATTAACACCAAATTCATCTACCATCATCCTCACAGTCGAACAACGATCTTCTTGTATCCGTTCTCGGAAGTTGGCAATGAGTTCTTCATTACGAACAGAAATTGTCTGTCCAGGTCTAGTTGCATTAGTAATAATTTCCATACCACTGTGCATGAGATAAACAATTATCCTCATAAACTTGTTGCATCAATACAACTGCCGCAATGGCGCCTTTTCGGAGTTTTAAACACAATTTAATGTTAGCTTTTTTGCAACATTATGTAACAACGCACCTTTGACTAGGTTAACAAAATAGCGGCTTGTTTGTTGTCTGCTTATCGGGCGGCAATGAAAAGTTGCCAGATCATAGACGAAGGTTGCCTCTTTGGATTCCGTGCTTTCATTCCGAGATGGCATTTAATGTATTGGCCATAATAAAATCAATCTCATTACTTAATTGTCGGACCTTGTGTAAGGTCCTGCTACGTGCTCTTCTGGCTGCTTCGACCATAGACACATCACAGTGCTGTAGTTTCTCTTATGTTATCTTCCCATCTTGTTCTTGCTCTACATTTGATTTGCTGTCTTTGTATGTAATTTAGAATTGGTTCTGTGCTGACCTCATTCCTGATTTTATCTCTTCTGGTCACCCCTAGTCTTTTTCAGACACCTCATTTCCATGGTTACTTATTTTCTTTTATCTCCTCATCACATGACTAAAGACTGTAGATTGTCTCTTTCTGATGTGGGCACTCAGTTCTCTTCGTGATTCATATTCTTTTGAGATATTTTCATTACTCTTTTCTTATCTGTTCAGGGTATTCTTATCATTCTTGTCTAAAACTACTCTCCGCAGCTTCAAAATAATTTTTCCATAATTTATTAACTGTTTATGATTCACTTCCCTGTATCAAGGTAGGATTTATATAGTTTTTAAGAATTCTTGTTCTCATCACAACCAACAAAGAAAGAGTGCAACAAAATATTCTTTATCTTGTAAAATGCTGCCCTTGCTTGAGCTATTCTACATTTAACTTCTTTAATACATCATTCTTCTGATGTTATCAGGGTACCCAAATATTTAAACATCAACTTGCTTGAGGTCTGTCCCATTTACTTAGACGTTGCATTTTGGAGGGTCAGTTTTTGTTGTAATTACCATTACTTCTGTTTTTCTGCTGTTCAAAAAATTTTTCTTGTTTTCAATTTTTTTTTACAATTATATCCATCATTTCTTGCAGCTCTGTTGCATTTTTCAGTGATCAAAACTACATTGTTGACATACTGCAGGTTGTTAACAATATGTGCCAGTAGCATTCTGATTATACGTCTGTCTTGCATTCCTCTGAGCATCAGTATTGGCCAGATCTCTTGGTCACTCCTCGTTACATCAATCTCACCAGATTGTGATGATAAATTTTCTGTTTCAGATCGTACACGTGCTCTCAGAAGGCCCTAACCATGTCTGCCTTATCAAACATCAGTATTTCACCTAATTGTGCAGAGCCAGCCAATCTGACCACCTGTTCATTTCCCAACACACCGGCACCCTGAGAGAAAAGATCCAGACAAATCTTTTCACCCTTGACCTCCGAAGCAAAGTATTCAGTCATCACCTTCCTCAGCATGTTTTCTGAGTCAGTTACAATCACGATTGTGTGTATATCGTGTTTTCTAACCAGCAGAAAGCTGTACTTCCATTCTAAAGCTGGAATTTGTGGTATCATATGCTAGACTCTCCTGCACCAAACATCGATTAGCTTTTGCCAAGAACCCTCAGGCACTTCTTCAGCCTCATAACACTGAACCATCTGTATAAATAATTACTTTACCTGAGCAAGCATTATCCTGCATTAATTTCTGAATTTCCACCTACATGGCACCTGCTGGCCACTCCCTGCTCAATGTGATTATTACTCTACACAAGTCTGACTGTTCCGCAGGTACTCTGACCCACTCTGCTCCTAATGTTCTCCAGGATGCAAACCTGTCTGATTGTGTCCTCCGCCTGAGCCATTAATGATTTCCTCCTTATCAGCTGCAGACCCATAACTGCATCAAGCACTTTGTGCAAAGGGTTATCTGTATCTGCAACTACTCTGAGGTATGACTTCTCCTGCAGCACCTTCAGCCTAAATGCAACAGTCATCAACCCAAGGATGTGTTGCATACACATTACTGGGGTGTCTCTGGTACATCCCAAAATGACCCACACAGCAGCATTCTGTATGCAATCTAGTTAACCAGCTGACTCTTTGAGACAGTGAGCAGTCCTAGTCTATAACCCATCAGTGAGAGGACTAAGTGCTGATACAGTATGAAAAGCATTCTCTGCTCCAAGTCCATTGCAGTCATAGTCTATTGGCATCTTGTCAGAACCGTCTCCACATGGTCTTCGAAGGACAGGCTCCTGTCAAATGTGATTCCCAGATTTTTCTGTTTGCTCAATCTGCTGACATTTCTACCATCTATCAAAAGACTTGGTACATCAGCTTCAACAATCATGTTGTCTAGAGAACACCACCATACAGACCTATTTAGACCTATGTATTATTGACTGGTCGGCATTTTGTGGGTGATGTGGTCAACATCATCTCGGCCACCTTTACTTACTAGGACCTTACCTGTTACCCGCTCAAGGCTGGGTCTACCTGGGAGCAAAGGTAATTTAAAAATCTACGACCTTTTGATCCGCAGACCAGTGTCTAGCCACTACCACCAAACCATGTTTATTGCATAATATAATAAATAACTAGACATACAGTGTCTCCATCTGAACTGTATTTAAGCCAGCCTGCACGGCAAGCATGAATAAAGCCGTCACGAATGTAGGTGCCACTACCACAAAAAACTGTGCCATCATCTTTACACAGCCGCTGACCTGGAAACAGATAGATGCAATTGTATCAAACAATATAAATACCATGGTTCAATATATAATTATAGTGGGAGGATAGATCAATATATAAATGAACAGTGATAAAAGGCAAGGTTAGTCTATCATGTAGGATTGGATGTTTCTATGGAAGCCAGTGAGGCATTTAAAAATTATATCTTGGACTTGTGCACTAGAATAAGGTGATCAATATAAGTACCGAAATTTATTTAGTGAGATTACAGCTGCCTATGATAAATTTTTTTCATTCTGTTATTTTTCACATATATTTAGGAAGCTGACAAGAACAGTTTTCGAGGAGTGTCGAAGAAAAGATTTTCAGTGACCGCGCTGTTACATTTTCACGATCTGCCTGACACGTTCCTATTTAATAAAAGATTTAAAAACTGTTAAATTTAGTAGCACAAATACAAATTTCATGTGCTGGATGGCCTCCTTAGCATGATCCACCCAGGACAGGCCCTGGCACACATGTGTTTACGTCACATCCGTGGTCGAACTCAAAATGGATAACACATTTGTTTCAATGTGTGTTCGGTTGTATTTTTTTTGTCACAGTGTAAACTACTGTGAAACCACACTCCTGTACAAAGTGGATACAGTGTGGAGTAATTTCAAACGTAGATCCTGAGATGTCCTTCTGTTTACAAGTGAAAGTTCTATTATTTCCTGGTAGCTCCCAAAAACTGAAGATATGAGGAAAGCCTGCACTGTTGTTGCTTCTTTTGCATTGTCTGCATTGCTGATCCCCTAAAACCAAGCCAAACTTTTATTGAGAACCCAGATTTTGCTAATAAAAAAAAATATTTTTACTGCATGATTCTGTGCACTTGCTAAAATGCATGAAGGACACAGACAAGACATTTACTTATCCTTTAATAACTGGACAAATGCTAAACGCTTGTGATACTGACAGAGCTGCAGAATCTAACTTTTTTCATTTAAAGAAACAGTATTACAGTGAGCAAAAGAATATTGCAAAACTGGCACCTAAACTTTCCCACAAAGCCATCTATCCCTCCAGCATGGACAGTACAGAATGTTCCTCTTGCTTTGGCAATTTTTAATGAATACAATGTTGCTGTTCTGCGTCTAGTGGGCAGTAATGAAACAGCAGATTTTATTGAGGCCATCCTTAGATGGTGGCATACTGTTTATGTGAATAGTAAATTTGTAGGTAAAAAGACACTGAACTCATTCTCAAATCCTGTATTGTCAAATGATGAACAAGTGCATTATCTTGAACAGTTTGCTGAATGGCTAAGAAACTGGGATAAGCTGACTGGCTGTCAAGGAAAACTGACCAAGTAAACACACAGTGCTCTGCTGCATACAGTGACCGCAGTGCTTTCTCTAATCAAATATCTATTTGCAACCACAGAAGCCACTTTTATACTTCTTGGAAAGCTGCAGACTGACAACTTAAAAGCTCGGTTTGGTGAATATCGGCAGCTGTCAGGAGCAAACTACCTAAAAACTACTAGTACAAGCAATTCGCATAACGAACAAAAAAAATTGTAAAAGAATGACTCGCTTAACGAGCAACGTTTCGCATAACGAGTGGCGAGGAGAGGGGAAGTCCTGGACTGCACGCATGTTACATCAGTCTGTGTTTAGTACTCATTCCAGTAGCATCGTAGTGTCGCTTGTGATCACACATTTTCTCAAACTTGTGTTATATTGTGATATTTGTACATGAATCCTCCAGACCAACAAGATGACCTCCCTGAAAAGTGTAAGTTTATCAAGATCCAATTTTGCCTCCCAATACCACTCCGTTTCTCCAGCTCATGGACCAGCAAGTTATTTCTAACTTCAAGAAGCTCAACTCTAAAGCAATTTTCGAGCATTGTTTTTTGGTGACTAAGGAACCATCACTCTTAAAGAGTTTTGAAAAAAAAATTACCTTAACATCGTTGCCTGCCTCAAGATGATCGACAAGGCGAGGAAAGGGGTTACCAAGAGAACCTTAACTTCTTGGAGAAAGCTTTGGCCAGAGAGCGTTGTCACTTTGTGACTTTGAGGGGTTCAAGACAGTACCTGTAGAACCTGTAGTCAACGAGATTGTGTCGTTGGCCACTATCATGAGATTGTAGATGGATAACAGTGATATCGAAGAGCGCAGCCAAGAGCTGACCACCGATAAGCTTTTAAAGTTGCATTGTGTTTCACAGCAAGAAGTTTTTGAGGAAAGTTTGTCAGAGGAGGAGGAGGTAACAGGAATGCAACAATCTTTTTGTGAATTAAAGAAATGCTGAAAGCATGGAAAACTGTTGCATCTTACACTGAGAAGCATAACCCTAAAAAAGAAGTGGCTATGTGCGCTGCAAATTTATTTAATAATAATGCTGTGTCGCATTTTTACCAAATTTTGAAGCGTTGGCAAAAACAAATGTCTCTGGACATCTTTCTAGTAAAAAAAAAATAATTAGCTATGTATCTTGATTATTTCGACTTTTTTCCCCTGCAAATCGAATTCGCATTCCAGGTGGGTTCATTCCGCGTTTGAAGAAAAGATGAAGATGATTCACTTTCCTTAACAATATTTACACTTTTCTTTGAATAAACGTTATACACAACATTTTGTGAGTATTTTTTTTCGACATGGAAAGCATTATCATAATTTTACTTTAATTTATATGAGAATTTTTTTTCGTATAACGAGTGCTTCGTATAACGAGTATGATTCTTGAACGAATTATGCTCATTAAGCAAGGTTACACTGTATCTGTTCAGCAAGTTTTAGAAGCAGAAAAGAAACTTAAAGTTTAATCACAGCTAAGTATGTCCTCATCAACTTATGGAGATTTTCCTATCTGTGACCTCTCAGAGTTTCTTAGCAGCAATGAAGAGGAAATTGGGGATGACATAATTACTGATGCTGTTCAACTGGATGTAAACAAGTTTGTTTTTTCAAATAAACCCAAATGACTGTGAATTATTGGTTTCGGAAGGCTCAGAGGAGTCACTGGTGTACATTGCTGGATTTGTCTCAAGTAAGCTGAACAACAAAATTAGGTGTGCTGCCTGCAAGACTTTACTGTAGATGGACAGGAAATTATCATATGATGTTGACTCGGGTGCAATGTCCACAGACTACATAGAGTTGCTTGACCGTGGAGGTTTGAAACACCCTAAAAAGTTTATAATTTTATTGACTTATGTAATATATGCAGCTATGCAGAAGCTTATATCAGCTGAGTTAGAAACACAATTTCTAGCCTGCAAACACCACAAAAAATTGCTTATGCATATTGTTTCATGCAGTTTACACACAAATATTTTAATGATGAAATATGTGGAGTCTGTGCTGAGGGTTGTTCTAAAGTAAACATTGCTTCCAAAGCGCTGCCATCTCTGACAAATGTTTTTACGAACAACTAGAGAAACCTAAAAAATTATGCATCCTTGCTGGATAAATCATTTAAGAAACTAAAACTGGCTTAATTCGCTATTAGATTTACATGGACTATGGACTACCAATTGGACAGCTACATAGTAAGTAGTTTCTGTTATGCTTTCTGTTTCTATGTCAAATTGTGAATACCTATATCCAGGGCTGTTCAACTAAGTCAATTTGTTTACTCATAGGCCAACATTGTGAAATTAGGGATCATTATGGGCCAGCGGTCGGAGTCGCAGCGTGAAAAGACCATTATTTCATTACAACCAGCAGTGATCTGTGAGACACTCGCTAGGCCTCAGCGGGCCACATTTGGTGCGCGGGCTAAGTGTTGAATAGCCGTGAGCTCACAGCTATAAGTTGTGTGGGCTAGTACACAGGGGACGGCCTGATACACACTGAAAAAACAATACTGTTAGAGTAAAAAAGGAACATATTGTTAGCCACCGGCGGTGACGTCACGTCAAGCTGATGACGCCAGCAGCTAGGCCTGTACTACTGACGGTCCGGGTGTCACTGGTCTCCTTTCTTCTTCAGGAGAGCAGCGGCCCTGGAAAGTTTCATTCTGCTCACTGTGGGAACTTTTAATATGTACTGCACTGATTATCAAGAGGTGTCCCTAGTGCACTTAAGAATAACACACACATTGTCTCGCTTTCAACTGTTTCCCGTCTGACTATTTGTGTGACCTTAAGAGATATTATGTTACGTTCTCACAATCTATGTCACTGCTCACTGGGAATTCCCATGCGTGCTCAGTCCTCCAATGCAGCAGCCACTCCAAGATACTTCTACTAATTGTTCCCATGACAGGTTAGTTATAATGTCTCCTATCTTGGCATCCAAGGCGGCATAGATGTGCCATACTTTACTCCCATGTCATGCAAATGTGTTCGTGTCAGAGATTCGTCATTATCCACTAGCCCAGTCTGTACAGCATTGATGATATCTGCTCTGCCATGTTTCTTCTAACATGCGTTAGTGCACTGCTTGCCAGTAGGTCTGCTCTATCATTGCCCTTTACGCCTGTATGAATGGGTATGTAGATCCAGCTGAGGGGGGTTAAGTGCGAATTTGGAATGCTTTCTACCACCTGCTGCTATTTTCTGAAGCACGTTCATGGAGTCTGAAACAATTACTACCTATTTATCTGCAACCCATGCTAGTGTTCTAGAAGCAGCCGCAATCTCCATGATCACTCTTGATGTAGTTGCCTGGTAAACGCTGCTGCCCCCTTTTTTTGCGCTGTGTATGCCTAAGCTGACCTTGATCCGCGCTTTACGGATCCATCTGTGTCCATGACGATGTCTTCTGAGTGTGAATGCTGATCTTTCAGTGCCCTTACCTCTGTGCCTTTGGCCGCAGAAATCTGATCCCTGCAGAGCCTTCCCAGTGTGATGACAAGCTTAGAGATGGCCTGCATGTCTACAGGTGTATTTGTTAATCATTCCTGTCACTGATCTCATCTAGGTAACATACTTGCTGTATTAAATCTTCAGCCTAGGCTACCCACCACCTATAAAACACACTCCTTTTGTGTCGTGTATAGCTTTGTGCAGTGGGTTGTCAAGGTCCACCAATA